GTTAGGTGACTTTAATGACCGAGTGGGTCATGACTTATGTGTAGCCCATGGGGCTTGTAATTATGAACACACTGTTCTGGCATCGGCGCAACCACACAACATCATGGATGCACACCGGGTCCAAGCAAGAACATCTGCTGAACCATATAATTACGGACGAGCAGATCCGGGCCCATGTCCTTGACACCAGGACCTACCGTGGAGCTGATCTGCCCACTGACCATCGACTTGCCATCTGTAAGATGCGCCTGCCATTCTTCCACTCCGGTGGTGGGTGTCCATATAGGATCCCATTCAAACCCACAGTGGCTTGCTTGGTCTCAGCTCGCTGAGGATAGTTGCAAGCAGGAATTTCAACATCGCTTGCAGCTGGAGTTGGCATCGTCCCCCCCCCCCCCCCCCCCCCACGAGGTTCAGGACTGTGGCTCATGCAGCTTCAAGGGCTACATTTGGTATGCGGTCCAGACCCTCCCCAGAGACCCTGGGCTGAAGGAGGAGGTGTTTCTGGCTGGTTGAGAGAAAAGAACAGGACCGCTCCCGCCGTCTACAGCATCCAACATCGGAGAATGAGGAGCTTACCGCAGCCTTCGCTCGGAGATTCGGAAGAGCCGTATGGCGCTGTTAGGGTGAGTGATGGGTGCGGGTTGCTGAGGAGATGGAATGTGTCTCAGTAGCCCGAAATCACTATTTAATTCAATTTTTTTTTTTAAATAACTTGCAGCGTCTCACGTTTATCAGTATCCTTAAGGGAAAGAACGGCAATCCAATCTCCGACCCCCAGGAACAGGCTGCAGTTTTGCAGAACATTTTGTTTAAGTTCTTGGAGGAGGGGAATTCCCTCAGCCAAGACGACATCATGGGGCAAGGTGGGGGACGACCCTGTTATGGCTGCAGTGCCTTAATTTGCCATCATTGGACTGCAGAATCAGAATATTCACACTGCAGGAGGAATCCGATGAGCTATAAAGCTCTTTTTCACAAATGTCCAGTAGGGGCACGGGGTAAGAACGTTACAACAACGTGAAGTACAACAACACGACAGTAGTGCAAGCACAAGGAAGGTAAATCACCCAAACACATCTGCAGTATCTATTAAAGTTAGGCCTTGTGAGTTTTGACATTCGGCAGGCGCAGTTCGTGGCCACTCGGGGGCGTTGGGGCGCCGCCCCACCGAGCAGCTGGAGCTGAGAAATTAGTTTTCAAATAAAAAAATATTTCTCTATAAATTGTTTCGTTGTGTTTAACATTTTTTTAAAATGTTATTCTTTCAAGGTGAATTGCCTCATGAAGATAACATACTCTTTGGTTCTTTCGGTAAAGTCACGTAGGTATAAGGAACCTAAGAGTATGGATTACCTGCAGTCACGAAAGCTTCAAATGAAGATAACATTTTTAATTGTTCACTTGCTAAAAGCCCTGCAACAATCTGATGTGTGCTGCCTCGGGGCGTCTGTGAGGCGTCCCCGAGCGAGAGATTCCCACTTCACACCTGATGACGACCGTTGTGTTATGATCGAAACGTCGTGAGGATTTTTATTGTTTTATTTTGTTGTTTTATTGTTTCCCTTCAACGTGACTTTACCGAAAGAGCTAAGAATATAAGATTCCCCTTCGTTCGTGGCGATGAGCTCCGCGTTGGAGCCACGCCGCTCGAGAACCATCAGGGCCGTGACAAAGGCGCACGTGGCTGTAATGAGAGACGACGTCACAGACGACGTCACAGACGACGTCACAAGGCGAGGTTGCACTGTGCTGATAGAGCAGCTCACGGGCTCTAGGAGGTTGTGCCGTGTGGGCTTGAGGATCAAGGGAACAGCACGAGTGCTTTGTTTTGTTTCGTATTGTTTATAAACGCCTCACCGTTGGTAGATTAAAGAGTTGTGTATCGCTTTCACGGGAAGGCCAATAACACGACGAGGTTTTTCTTAATTAGAACACCATCTTTTCAAGAGGTCACTCACAACAGCCCCATCAAGTGGACATGTCACGGCCCACCACTGCAGTTCGAGACGTATTTGTTGCGATTCATCCATCGTGTGGTGCCGCAGCAGCGAGGGCCGTCCTGCCGACGCCGTGGCCGCAACGCCGCCACCCCCTCCGAGCGACGGGGCCGACGCTGCTCTTCCCTCACCACCCCCCACATGAACACACACACACATAGAGCCCCCACATGAATACCCCCACATAGAGTCCCCCACATGAACACACACACACCCCCACATAGAGCTCCCACATGAACACACACCCCTCCACATAGAGCCCCGAGGGGAGGTCACCTGGCCGACAGGTTTTCACCAGAAGGCCCTCTCATGGGACCAATCTTCACGGTTTCCTGCTACCAGGGAATTGGGCGACCCCCCCCCCCCCCCCCCCCCGAGGCTAACGTGCACCGCGGCACCGTGAATTGGGTTGTAATCACGTGGTCACGACGGGGCTGCTGAGCCACCGCGGATAGAAAACACCCACAACACACACGGGTCAGCAGGCAGGTAGGGGGGGACGGAGTCACGAACGGCGGGAAAAACAGGGCCGGCCCTCGGATTGGTAGGACAGATGCACTTGTTTAGAGGGTGAAAAGCGGACGTCTGAGAGAGCACCGGTCCGGGGAGAGTGGCGGGAAATCCGAGCCACCTGATTGGACGGGAGGCTAGCGGATCAGCGCCGATTTATCTTTGATGTAGAGGACAATAAAAAGGGTAGAGAAGGAAGGGAGAGTTAGTTCGTATTGTACTCAAGCCAGGCTTGGGGCCATCGACTTCCCAGCCACTCGAACGTCCGTGTGACGAGTCAAAGTGCAGCGAGGATCCGACCCAGCAGCTCCGTACGAGTCGAACCGTGAGTACCCGAGAGTGAGATATTGAGGCCATTGTGAGATTGTCTTAGGAGAGTGATTTGAAAGAGGCAATACAGATCGGGTCTTAGACCATCGGGAGATAGGTTAGACCTGCCCTGCTGACTCAAAACTGACTCGGGTAATTTAGCCTCAGGACTCGCTGAGAATAAACTGTTGGGGATCAATAAACCCTGTGTCGTTGTACCCTGTGTTTGGGCATGAGTGTGTATTTACCCACGTGTTTGCGCTTGCCCATGCGTGTAACTCGTGGTTAGCGTGTGCTTGTGGTGAGCGGTGGCGGACTCGTACAGGGGCACGTGAGATTACTCATACGCCCTTTCGTTTTAACGTGTGGCGGGAGGCTAACGGGCGGCGTACACGCGAGATTATTCGTGCGGCCTTTTGTTTAGCGTGTGCGTGGGGTGAACGGGCAGCGTACCCGTGAGTTTGTTCATCCAGCCCTTTAAATAAATCTCCGAGACAACCCCCCCCCCAATCGGCTGCACGTGTGCGAGTGACGACCCTGCCCTCTGACCCCCGACCCCGAGTCCCGCGCGCGCGATTGGTGCGCGGCACGGGAGAGGAGCGACGTCGGATTTCGAGTGAGTGGGTGTGAGTGAGTGTGCGCAGAGATCGTGTGAATTGATCCCAGGTGGCTAAGCGCCAGCCACGAATCATGCCCGAGGGGCCGCAGCGAAGGGGGGGGGCGGAGTCGGTGAGCAGTAACCCTCCCCAGGGCACGGAAGAGGGGAGCAGTGGATCTCACGTGAGCGAGCAGCCGAGGGTCAGCCTCCTCGGTAATCGTTTTGAGAGGGGCTGCATGGCCAGTCGCGCTGTGGTCTGCCTTAAAATTACCATTCATGGAAATGTGTGCATCGGCCTGTTTATGTCGTGATGCGGTTGATGGTTCCACCCGTGTATTTGTGGAATGCCCAGGCAATGAGGTTGCGATGTTTGGGTCTCGAGGCGTTGTTATTCTGGCCGGTCCGCATTGTTACCACTCTGTTCGCCAGCGGTCTTCCCGATCTGGGTTGAGATTCCGGGATGGCGAGACAGCTCATTCCCAGAAGGGGGGGGGGGGGGGTTCATTGTCGAGGTCTTGGTTAACGATGGGTAAGGTGGTTGTCGTTGGCACTAAAACACATTTGAGTTAGCAGTGGCTAGGAACACATTGTATTAGAGAACGTAGGCAAGTTAGGGGCATCTTATCGAGTGTTCAGTTAGGTAAGCAGACTTGGCCCGTGATCTCATTACTGAACTGACAAGACATCCTCGTAGCAAAAGTAGCAAATGCTACTGGCTCCGCATTTTCAAGGGCCCCGCGCTAAATGCTTTCAAGCCATCAATTCTGGTTCAGCCATTCTGCACTTGCTCTATTACTATAGTACTATGCTGCCTTCAACTTTTATGGACTGGGCGTTTAAGGTTAGCGATTTGTTGTATTATCCGGCTGTATAGCAAATGAAAACATACAATTACTTTACTATGCAAGTAATTTTTTAAAAATGTTTTTATGTGTTTAGGGGTCGTCCATAAATTACGTCACGCACCTAGGGGGGGTCAGACAATTGTGACGAGGGTTTGAAAAATGTGACGTCATATCAAAATGCACAACTTTAAATATAGACAACACGTTCTACTGAAAGACGTTTTAATGTTTTCTCCTACATCAGTGCAGCGCCACATTAATACGCGCTACAATGACAACAGTTGAAAGCGATTTGAAGCATGTTTAGTTTCAAAATGGAAATATGGTTTTGGGGGGGGGGGCAGAGCTTTGTGACGTCATATTTGAGGGGGGGTCTGACTTTGTGACGTGACGAGGGGGGTAAAAAAACCGTCCAAAATCGCGTGACGTCATTTATGGACGGCCCCTTATGTAGTTATGGCCTCTTGTAAACATATGCTACAGGCCCTGCACTAGCTTAATCCGGCACTGGGGGGGGGGGGGGGGGGGGGGAGTCTCACCTGTTCCATGTGGCGCTGGACGGGAGGCAACGGGCGGAGCTTGGTGGTGGTATCATCATCCGCGTCACACTCGGCTTGGCTGGAGGGGGTTTCCTAACTTCGGGAGGCAGGATGTTTGGAGCAGCTACCATTTCTTTTTGAAGGGGTCCGAGTCATCAACCACAGAAAAAGTAGTCGATTGCAAGGTTCGGTAAATTAATTGAATAATCATCCCAGCTCTAGTTTTTTTATTTACAACATCCACTTTGCGTACTCCTTCACTCGGACACGGGCACGCGACGAAACTAGCTCGATAACTTTATTACTATGTTGAATTAAGCGGTACATTACTTTCAAAGATACCTTCACAAGCACACAAGAGCGTAGTAATGTATTCAGCGAGCGCTAGCTGGGGGGGAGGGATTCGTTTACATTGTGAACTAACGTCTCTATGCTGCCCGCATCAACACGATCTTTAAGAATACAAGTTTGCCATTTTATTATCATATATAGCTATCGTACATACACCATCATCATAAAGCAGATTTTGTGAACCATTCCCACGGCCATTCTGCCAACAAAGGAGTGGGTGTCCTGTGGTTCTTTCATCGAAGTGTATGGGGGAGGTTCAATGAACGGGGCACAAGTTCGGGCACGCGAATGAGCAAACGCCGCCATCGCCAGCCACCTTGTTCACCACAATGCCATCAAAGAGCATTCACTCCCATGCCAATCATTCACTCCCATGCCAATCACTGAGCGTCGTGGGTGTCCAGACACCCCCAACTTTTAAATATGGCAAAGACACCCGCAAAATATTGTGCCCCTGGTCAGCACACACAGACACACAGAAAACACAAACTCAGTCAGCACGCACGTGTGGTCAACACACATTCACACAACACACACAGCCAGCACACATGTACGGTCAGTGCACAGTCAGCACAACAGACATTTACTCCGTACAGTGATTCAGTCGGCACACACATTCACAGCACACATACATTCACACAGATTCAGTCGACTCGCACACACGACAGATACCGCCAGCTTCCAAAGTGTTGCTGCGCCCTTGATTCCACCAACCACAACAGTACAGCATCGTACAGGTTGTACAGGCAGGTCCCCACCAGCCAGCACGCACACACACTCACTCTCTTTGCCGATTGCACTGGGTAATGCTGTGACCGATTGCACAGCTAAGTCCACCAGGGAGTACGACGTTTTCCATTGCACTGGTATAACCGGGGCGCACCCTACACGCAAGACACAACAGGGTCCACCCCGCTGCGGGAAGAAATTTTTGGGATACACAGGCCAAGTCCACCAAGAGGAATCCCTCCAGATTAGAGAATCCAGGCCCTCTTATGTGGCGACTAGGTGTCAGGCGACTACAACCCGAAAAAGACCGAGTCTACGAAATCCTCGGCCACCAATAACACACAGTACATGTCGCATATCCAACCGTCACGTATCATCCACCAGGACCAATTCACAGCCCAAAACCCAGTGCCGAACTGCAGCATGGCGTATCAATTTTTATAGATGGTCACAAATCCAACCTCTTTTTGCGCGAGGTCATCTCGCAAAATTTCGCTCACTTCTAAAGCGCAGTAAAAGCAATTTCCCTACAGTTAAAGCAGTTTGGGCTGCACTTTTTTGTCCAGTGACCTACCTGTGCACAATGGTGTAAACTGTGGTTTTCTATAGACATTCACATATCTGACTTTTTCACATATCTGCCCATACCTCCGTCCCAAGCGAGTCGGATAAGCGACGTTATACTGCCTACCTCTATCACAGTACTAGTCAATACGGCAATGTGTGAGCGACTTGGCACGGGTGTTTAGGAGCTAAAACTGCGTCAAACCCTGCCTTGCATCGTTTTCACAGTTGAAAAAAAAATTATTCCTGTGGAATTTCCCAGCCAAAAAAATAACAAGCTATTCGAACAACACAGGGCACAAAAAAAAAAACAACTGAAACGAGGCTGCACAAAACTGTCTAGTTTTTTGTAAAATAGTTATTTGTAAAATAACTAGTCATGTAAAACAACGAGCCGTGTAAAATAACTTGCCATTGTTATTAAGTTCACAGCATCAAAAGCATCAACCCCCCCAACCCTGCCATCAGTTCCATTTGATCACAGCTTAACAAATATATTTCTGTGAATACAAATAACATATCTGGTTTTACAAAGAAACACAAAAAAGGGAATATATTTGAAACCACCCTTACACAGTCACTCGCATTACAAGAACAGCAGCAACAACAGCAGCAGCATGGTCCCATCACGGAGACTCCGGCAAAAAATCCATCTGTACTGGCGGCTGTGATGCATGCTGGGAGTGCTCATCTGGCAGGGCTCCAAGTATCGTTGGGGCGGACGCCACCACGGCCTGCGTGTCCGTACTGCTTGCCGTCTGCATGATCTTCTGCCGGACCTCACGGATCTTGAGTTGCAGACAGGACTTGGTTGGGAAGATCTCGGCGTGCTTCAGCTGGAAGGCGGACGTGGCGTGCGCTGAGTAAGAAGGGAAGGGAATTACGAGAGGGAACGTCAAAAAGTTGGGTCCATGATCGCAAACACAAACCGCAAATAAGCCATTCAATCATTGTCTGTATATTGAGCCTTTTTCACACCGTATTAGTCAACCATGCTAAGCGGAGGTGCAATAACCTTAACACAAAAAGCGCACAGATATCATCTTGCAGACGTGCTTCTCATCATTTGCAGAAAGCATTGGGTTGTGTTAATTACCAAACTGTTCCCACAGTGATCAGGCAAGGCTTGTCCACCTGACACCCCGAAGCCACATGGCAGCAGTAGGCAATAATGGCTATGCTGGACAGGTATCACTCGACTTAGAGTGAGGGTAAAAAGTATTTGATCCCCTGCTGATTTTGTACGTTTGCCCACTGACAAATAAATGATCAGTCTAGAATTTTAATGGTAGGTTTATTTGAACAGTGAGAGACAGAATAACAACAACAAAATCCAGAAAAACACATGTCAAAAATGTTATAAATTGATTTGCATTTTATTGAGGGAAATAAGTATTTGACCCCCTCTCAATCGGAAAGATTTCTGGCTCCCAGGTGTCTTTTATACAGGTAACGAGCTGAGATTAGGAGCACACTCTTAAAGGGAGTGCTCCTAATCTCAGCTTGTTACCTGTATAAAAGACACCTGTCCACAGAAGCAATTAATCAATCAGATTCCAAGCTCTCCACCATGGCCAAGAGCTCTCCAAGGATGTCAGGGACAATATTGTAGACCTACACAAGGCTGGAATGGGCTACAAGACCATTGCCAAGCAGCTTGGTGAGAAGATGACAACAGTTGGTGCGATTATTCACAAATGGAAGAAACACCAAAGAACTGTCAATCTCCCTCGGCCTGGGGCTCCATGCAAAATCTCACCTCGTGTAGTTGCAATGATCATGAGAACGGTGAGGAATCACCCCAGAACTGCACGGGAGGATCTTGTCAATGATCTCAAGGCAGCTGGGACCATAGTCACCAAGAAAACAATTGGTAGCACACTACGCCGTGAAGGACTGAAATCCTGCAGCACCCGCAAGGTCCCCCTGCTCAAAAAAGCACATATACATGCCCGTCTGAAGTTTGCCAATGAACATCTGAATGATTCAGAGGACAACTGGGTGAAAGTGCTGTGGTCAGATGAGACCAAAATGGAGCTCTTCGGCATCAACTCAACTCGCCGTGTTTGGAGGAGAAGGAATGCTGCCTATGACCCTAAGAACACCATCCCCACCGTCAAACATGGAGGTGGAAACATTATGCTTTGGGGGTGTTTTCTGCTAAGGGGACAGGACAACTTCACCGCATCAAAGGGACGATGGACGAGGCCGTGTACCGTCAAATCTTGGGTGAGAACCTCCTTACCTCAGCCAGGGCATTGAAAATGGGTCGTGGATGGGTATTCCAGCATGACAATGACCCAAAACACACGGCCAAGGCAACAAAGGAGTGGCTCAAGAAGAAGCACATTAAGGTCCTGGAGTGGCCTAGCCAGTCTCCAGACCTTAATCCCATAGAAAATCTGTGAAGGGAGCTGAAGGTTCGAGTTGCCAAACGTCAGCCTCGAAACCTTAATGACTTGGAGAAGATCTGCAAAGAGGAGTGGGACAAAATCCCTCCTGAGATGTGTGCAAATCTGGTGGCCAACTACAAGAAACGTCTGTCCTCTGTGATTGTCAACAAGGGTTTTGCCACCAAGTACTACGTCATGTTTTGCAGAGGGGTCAAATACTTATTTCTCCATTAAAATGCAAATAAATTTATAACATTTTTGACATGCGTTTTTCTGGATTTTTTTGTTGTTATTCTGTCTCTCACTGTTCAAATAAACCTACCATTAAAATTATAGACTGATCATTTCTTTGTCAGTGGGCAAACGTACAAAATTAGCAGGGGATCAAATACTTTTTTCTTCACTGTACAAACGTTCCATTAACAAAACGTCGCGTCAACGCAATTGAAAACATTACGCATACTTTTCGATGTACGAAATCTAATTTCCGCGTTAACGAAATGTCACACGGTACGGGCCTCGAGGTCAAACAAGAATCACCAGGGTGGCTGCGTCATCCATCTGTGACAGCATCACGGTGTCCATACAGTGCAACAATAACGCATCCACATCGCATTTCCAGTTATTCCAACATGAAGATATTTCGGTGAATTCCCTGTATTGTGAAAAGTGATATAGGTGGATGTTATTAAGTTAGGAGTAGAGTTGGAATGACTGTCCCAAACACATCCCTATTTTTTTGTATTAAATGGGAAAGGCCATTTCGATTTACGAGTGTTTAAGAATACATCCCTTTTGTAAATCGAGGGGTACCTGTGCTGATCATTTCTAAGATAAACCGCACTATAGACTTCGCTCGTTGGCCAGCTGCTGCTGCCACCAATATGGCCACAAATTTAACAAGGTTGCCGAAAACAACGAAACGTGCAGTGTGGTGACGTCACTTGACGTGCAAGGCATGATGGGAGGAGAGATTTTATGTTCCCATGCGCACATTTCGCCGTCAAGATATCACCTTTTGTGTGAATTATCAAATTTGCAGATGCGACCGACACAAATACGCTAAAAGCAGCCGTGCGATCTCGTAGGCAAACAAAGCTAACGCTGGCACGTCAAACGGGAACCATTGCATACTACAAAAGACACGCGATTCCACGCCACACTTCCGCGTACATGGGCAGCATTACACCCCGTTCACTGTAAGCCGTGTTTCTGTATCTCCTATTTGGGGGTTTTCATCGTTAATTGTTGTAACGTTCTGATCCGCCTCTTCTAGACATTGGAGAAAAATAGCTTTGTAGCTCATCGGATTCCTTCAGTATAATTACATTTTCCGATTCTCATCACCAACCACACTCAATGTGTTCACGTCACACACTGGCGCCACAGACCTAAATATATAGTTTTAAATTATGATTCTGAAATGTCAGCTGCTTCCCTTGACACACCACCAAACCTGTAACTTGACACCAGATAGGTCCTTGGCTACTAATTAACAAGGTGGCACTATGCAGTTTGGACGGAAGCCAAACGAATAGCTGAGCACCCAGCCCTTGTGACCCACCACCCATGATGGTGGCTACGCCTCGCTACGTTCACCAATCGTCACCAGTCTAACACAACTGAAGTCTCTGCAACGCCGCACGCGTCCGATTGGTAGTCAGGTTCCACGCGACGTAGAGCTACTGCGAATCCTGCCTTCATTATGTAATCATGCAGTATTTATGTAATCCTGTTTCACTTGCCTCTCCCTCCATGTACATTGTTTAGAGATGCGGTTGCATTTTAGACGCTACACAAATCCACATTGTGTTGTTTTGACTCGGACAGACACCCATATACCAATGACAGTGCTCTCTGTATAAAATAATTATGCCCACTTTTTATGGCCAGGTAGCTCAGCAGTAAAGCTAGAAAACCAATGTTTGCAGACTAAAACCTTGGTCGGGGGTTGACTCAGCCCATCATCCCTCCAGGGTCGATATAATCATTACCACTTTGTGGAGAAGTCAGGGCTGCAAACAGGAGATGAACACCAACGCAAAGCTGGGCAGGAAATCACTTTGCCCGTTTCTGAACGTCGTCTTCCGATGCGGTCCCATTAGGATGCGATGTGATTCCACACTGTGTTGTATTCATTGACTTACATAAGAGACCCAGTTGCACACACTGAGACCCGTGGACTTGCATAGAGAACTGCGAGTGCCTCACTCGCTTTCTGCTTATGTACGTCGCGTTGAGACGTGAGTGCACGTGCGGGTGCTGTGCTGTGCGTCGCACCGGATGGGAAGAAGCCATGCTCGTGGAAGAGCTGCATGACGAGGGCGCGCCGCGTGTCCAGCGTGCGACGCAGTGACGAGTATGCAGTCTTGTCCTGGTCCAGGTCCCCACCGCCCTCCGAGCCCTCCGAGCCTTGCGATCCTGGCATCGCGGGCGACACGCACGCAATGATAATGACAAAGGTCCGCCCGTGTAGCCTACACATAATGTTTGGGCAAGTGCTGTTAGCGAGCACCTATTTAAGGTCAGCATGGTGCACGAGGGGGTGGGTGGCAAGTACCACGCATGGCCGCTTTTGTCTCCCCGGTACCGGTCCCAGTGTAAGACCCACATGCGAGCTCGCACACACGCACACATACGCGTACAAACCAACGTACGTACGCATGCACGTGCGGGCACAAATTAAACCCAAGGCACGTGTCGTCCCCGTGCAGTTAAATGCATTCAAATCTTTCGCCCTGCCAAGGTAAAACCGCTTGAAGGTGGACTATAAATTCCACACAACAGATAAGTACAAGGCTTTAGAACTGCTAGTATATAAATGCATGATTCTGCCACGCAAAGCTTAATTAGTGCACGAGCCATGTGCCGGTTGTAGTTTTTTATTTGCATAATTATTTAGGGAGGTCATCCGGTTTCAGCCAAAATTTTGACTTACTCAAGTCTGGATTAAAGAGGTTTTACTGTACTAAGGCCTCATGACCAAATCACCCGGAAGTAAGCAGGGCTGAGGCTGGATAAGAGCTTGCATGGAAACGACAGCCCTGCGCGAACCGGTTTGCACAGGGCTTGAAGTGGGCAGCAGAGGGCAGTGCAGCCCAATCCAATGTTACGTCAACATTGGGAGTGTCAGTGCTCCCCACCTTCACCGACCCGCATTGACCAGCATGGTGAAGTAGGGCGCCCGTACGTGTAACCCGTAGCCATAGGCGTGATGGGGAAAACCTGGGGAGCCTATTGAGGTTTTTGATAAAGTGGAAGGAAAAATGAACAGAGGTAGAGAGCCTAACATAGACAGGGAATTATAATGTAATGGACAGTAAATACATGTTATAGCAATCGAGAGTCGAGTAGCTTCAGCATCAGGGTACGAATACTCTCACATTGGGTATTCGTGCCCCTGCAGGACAAGGCTATCACGAAGGAAGGTGTTGCTGGGTTCCACACAGTCTGCAGTAGTTTCACAGTAGGGGGCGATATTAATGTGTTTTTTTTACTGAATAATTTTACGGTCTTGTTTTCAAATTTGCCCAAATTTGGAGTGTGACGCTGCCACACGATGGCTGACTTTTCGAATAACGTCAAGGGATCTTTAACGTCCACAGTGAAAGCAGACGGAGCATATCGTTGGGGTTGATAAATCAGTGACTGATTCGTACTCTCGTGCACAAACGCACACGTGCAGCATACACGGACAAAGATCCCCTGTTGAAACCTTAACAGACAGTTGAGGAAAGTGGTGTTAGCGATCAACAATGAAGGCCATCACTGTGGCACACAAGGGGGTAACCACTCCAGCACCATGCCCGGGCACCTTTGTCTCCCCAGTGGCGATGTTTACACGCCGCACCAGGTACTCAACTGAGGCTGAGTCGACCTAGGGGAGGCCCAGGACCAGTTCAAATGATCAGCACTGCTGTTAGCCATGAGCGGGAATTGAACTCGGGTCGCCGGGTTCGTAACGCAGCGTGCTAACTGCTACACCACCCTCTTTGGTTCTATTCCGTAAAGTCACGTAGCTAAAAAATAAAACAACAAAAATCGCGACGTTTCGACCACAACACAAGCGGCCTTCATCAGGTGAAGGGACCAGGCTGTCTCGAGGACAGAGTTGGAGTGAAACACAGCCACGCTCAGACCGCGACCTTTAAGCTGTGTGCGAGGAAACAAGGTGCCTTGACAAAGGAATTAGCACACCACCGCTGCCCATACACGCATACACATACATACACATACACACGCATACACACGCGCGCTTACCCGTGCGGTGGCTGGCCGCCTCGGCCAGCATGTCGAGCCCTGTGCCGGGCCGGTCGAACAGGAAGACATCTCCCTCGCATCGGCCTCCTTCTCCCGCCCTCTTGGGCGTCCCCGGAGCCCCCTCTGCCCCCCTTTTCGGGGTGCCAGGGCCCCCGTCCGGCACCCTTTTAGGAGTTCCGGGACCCCCCTCGGCAATACGTTTAGGTGTTCCGGGCTCAGAGCTGCAGCTGGAGCGCTGTCTCTGGCGACGGCGAGGTGATCCGCATTCCTCTCCTGGCCCCTCCAGGTCTGCGGCACACAAGGATCCCCCCCCTGTAGCCTACATAGAGACTGCTGGGGTAAGTGCTGCTAAGGCCGTCATGCCACACGAGGGGGGCTGGGCGGTCAAAACCACGCAAGGCCGTGAGAAAGCACTGGTCTCAAGTCTCCGAGTTTATATTGCAGTACACCAACCACTGGTCCACCATTTGAAAAAAAATGTACTAACTACTAATTACAAAAGTTCATCATCACTCCAGCAACCAATTATAACTACTGCACTACCACTTCTTAAAGACAAACATCCCCTATATAACGAGCACCTATGAAGGCTGGCACAGCACACGAGGGGGTGGGGTGGCCACTATTATTGGTCGACCTCGGGGATGCCCAGGATCGGTACAAATATTCGCCACCATTCGTGAGCGGTAATCAAATTCAGGTCACCGGGTTTGAAGCACAGTCCACCAACCACTGCGCCACCCGCCCTCCCACACCGCTGCCCACCGTACACACACGCACGCACACGTGTGCGCAGTCCTTGACGTGCGCATACCCGTGGAGTTGCGGCGCTTGCGGCGGTAGCTGGAGAGGATGGCGCGCGGCGACGTGGTGAGCGCGTGCAGCGTGGGCGACGGCAGGGCCTCGTCCGGGCGGAACTCGGGTAACTCCGCAAAACGACCCTCAAAGTCGACCTCCGACAGGACCCTGAATGGAAACGGAGAGCGCAGCCACCGCGATGCGGGCATGTAGCCGGCACATAGCACGCGGAGATTCTATTTATGTGTTTGCATTTTAAATATTTCACCAGGATAATCGCTTGGAATGCAACGTCTCATTTGTGGGGATGTCTAGGGTGTCGATTGAAAGGTACATTGACCAGGGTTACCACCTCTGAGATGCACAAAATCGGGACACATCATGGAAATGAAACGAATCTCTCGCAATTCTAGAAGCAGGGAGAACAGCATGTAAATGCATTCTCTTTTGTGGTTTGTTATGATTACGCAACTGACAAAAAACGGTGCTTGTAATGTTCCGGGAAACATTTAAGAGATTTCCCAGAACAGCGGCTACCTCAAACAGGAAGCATTGTCCTGGGAAAAGCAGGACAGGTGTCAAACCCTCGATGCGCTGCATTCTCTGCAGCACAATGCGGTGAAGCCTGCACAGAACACGGCAGCAGAAGGTGCCGTAGGGTAGAGCATGGGTGGGAAACCCTACTGGGGGGCTCAATTAGACTTTCAGATAACCACTGGCGGGCAACCACAAATTACACACCCTAGGGTTCTCTAATTACACAGTAGAGGCTGGATATAAGCATGCCGCTTGGGAGCAAACCACCTGCGCTTGTATCCGAAGTTGCGTGTTCGTATTAAAAGTTGCCCATCAACCTTCCTCCGCACCAGTGTGAGGTGCATTTATATATCTAGCTTTTGCTGTAACCGGAATATAATTAGGGGTCATCTTTACAGGTGACCCGAGCATGCTTACATTATAAAGACACGTGTCATTGCCGAGTCAAAATGTATTCCCCCCATCGAGTACTCGATTCGTGCAGCTACGATGCAGTAGGAGGGACGATATCATTCGAGGGCCGTTCATAAACCTTTCCCCTTTAGAGAGGTAAACACGCGTTTGATGCTGGCGGGCGCGTGACCCAGCGCGGACGCTGGGAGGGAGCAGAGCGCAATGCTTACTGGTCCACCGAGTCAAAGGCTCGCTTCAATGGGGCGGCTTGACCTTCACTCTTTTTGAGGGCTCTCTTTTTTCTCCGGGGGGGTGTCCGCAGCGCTGCCTGCCGTTCGCGTCGGCTCGCTCGCCGGCCGGGGGCTCTGCGAGGCGGCTTTGAAGCCCGCTGACGCTGCCTGCTCCGCCTAGGGGGCGCAGGAAATCACACGCGCGCACACACGCGCGCACGTGCGCACACACACACACGCGCCCACGCACACACAGGCATACGCAGAGGTGGTTACCTATGTACCGCCTATTTCCACTGTACAACCGTGCCACACTGAAGATGCCACACGCAACGAACAAGTCGAGAAGCAACGCATGGCGACGATGATTAACCACGCTCCCTGATCCTGCCACATCAGATGTGTTGTGTCGCCGGCTTCACGGCGGAGCTCTGGCACTGCTCGGACAATACCGAGGGCCACACACATCCATCAAATATCTGTGGCGGGCCACATGGTAAAACGCACACCTCAGTCACTTAATTTCATACAGTGGAATAACGTCACGATGCCATGTGAAATTACGCCGCTGGCCGTATATGACGCATGGGTACGTAGGCACCCCCATACCCCCCCTCTCCCCGTCCGAGATGCACATGGACTAGAACAGGGGTCAACAAGCAAATAATAAGAGGGATTTTTTTCGAATTCGGTCAAAAAAAACGTGAATATTAGACGGTGGTCCTTAATAAATTCACGAAGCAGTCCTTAAATAGCCGCAACGCCGCTCCGGAGCCGCGGGATACCGATCCCCTGGACTAGTACACGGACGCATGAGTACACGCACAGAGCCAGCAAGTCCTTGCCTGCTGCAGTTCTCCTCCTCCTCCTCCTCCCCCCGCCACCCCGTCCTGCGTCTCGCCGCTCTCCTCCTGCCCGGTGGCCGCCTGCCTGGGCTCGGCGCCGCCGTCCGCGGGAACGAGCCGGGCCGCGCCGTCAGCCGCAGCGGCTTGTGCCGGCGCCGGATTGACGCACGACTGCGCCCCCTCTTGGCTTCTAGCAGAGGACGTTGCCGACGACGAATGGACCGAGGAAGAGCTCTGGGATAACTCCTGCCCGGTTTTCGCTTCGGGAGATGGGAGCGCCGACGCGGCGGCGGAGAGCGAGTCGGGCGGATTGGGAGCGAGCGGCGGATGGACCGGGTCACCGTCCGCAACTTGCGGAGACGCGGCGCTCGGAGAGCGTGGGTCGCACGCCGTGGCTGCCGGGACGTCGGTGGGCCACACGGGGACGGTGGCGAGGGACGTGCGCACGCGGGTGCCGCGCCGGGGCGGCGGACACAGCACCAAGCCGGTGCCGCTAGGGTGGATGGCACCTGCAGGCAGACACAGATTCAGGCACCCAGAGAAGCGCCAACAATGCAGTGCCCGCAGATCGAACAGCGGCCGCGCTTTCCTACTGCTGGCTCTGGACCCGGTCGACGAGGCCTTTCACTTTGATCAGAAAGACATGGGGGCGCAACAAAAAAACCCCATTGGTCACAGGTGAGGTTTTCACCATTTATCTAGTGGAGAAATATAGTTCACTGTGTGACGTGCAGCAGAGTAGTGGCACAACTCACATTAAATCAGCATGCATTCTCACAAGACCGGAACTAAAGGTTTAGCTGCAAGCACTGCAGCTGACACATAGCCAGTGTTAACCAGACAGGTCACCGAGCCTTACAAGGTCCAACCACCCGCTTGATTCACGCGAGAGTGGGTTCTGAGTGCGAATGTGTAAGTGTATTTAGTGAAGTCGTGCGAGGGGAAGTTGTGTGGCCGTGCGAGTGGCTGTGCGAGTATGCTGCGGCAATATCTATGTGCTTGGCTGTGTTTTTAGTGGCAACCCATGGCTCACCTGGGCACTTAGACCCAGCACTTGAAACCGAACTGGTAGCTTCTCCAAGCGTTGCACAGGTCCGCAGTGACACACACTGCTCCACGGCTAATGCGCCTTGCGGTAACGACGGCGGCTGGTTCTGCTGCTGGTGCTGCTGCGCCTCCGAGCTCCGCAAAGCAGACAGCTGCACGCCCTCCACGTCCCCCGATGCCGGCAAAGTGTTCGTCAGCAGCGCCTCGCTTGACATCGGCAAGCGACTGTGCGCTCCCTCCTCCACCTGCGAGTTCCCATTTGCAGCTCCTCTGTCTAACGTCACGGGCAGCGTCGCGCAAGGGGTAGCCTTCGCCTGCGACTGGAACAGCTCGGGCCGCGCAAACACAGCGGCCGCAGCGGAGGCGGCGACCTTGTCTTCCTGCTCCGCACCCCCTTCCCTCGTGGCCCTCATCAAGGAGACGAAAGAGGCCTTCCCGATTCCGTTCCCGTCGGGCGAGCTGCGTGTCCGCAAAGCGCCTGGCAGCTGGAGGGCGTCCCTTCTCTCCATGAGCACGCTGGCCCGCTCGGCGGCGGCACTCGCCTCGCTCTGCCCGTCCGTGAGGCACGCACCGCCTCTCTCGGCGGGCCCCAGGCGCAAGCCCTCGTGCCCGTCGCACACCGCCCTCGCCCGCTCCAGGACGTTGCTAACGACGGTCGGTCCTGTCGAAGGAATACAGCGCCAGCTTGGGCCGCTGGAGGACGTTCCACCAGGATGCTCGGCCGCTCGCCCGCGCCGCTCCCGCCACCGGCGGGGGCGGCGTGGGCGCTGCCGGGCGCGCCTACGCCGGTCCTGGACAAATCCACTTGCCTGACGAGCGTCAAACAATCCTGCGGGCGAACCCCGCTCAGCATCACGGCGCAGGGGAAGGAGCCGACCGGGGCCTGCCCCGTCCCTTCCGCCGCCGCCGCCGCCGCCACGGCAGACGCCGCCTGCGCCGCCGCCTGCCCCCTCCCCGAGGTCGGCTCCGAGGACACGCAGGGAGGGAGGGGCGCCGGCGAGGCGAGCGTCGCCCCACGACACGCGCATGGCCACGGCGGAGCTCGCGACGTGCAGGCGCGACGTGCGCGTCGGCGGGGGAGCGGCCGCCCCCCCTCTCTCGCTCCTGCGTGGCCCCCGCGACGCCGTGCGGGACGGGACCCCCCCCCAATCCCCTGATCCGGGGCCTCGCCGGGTCGCCCCCCTTCCTTGTCGCAGGCCGGAGCGGCGTGCGCGTGGTCGCCGCCGTGCTCCGGCCGCTCCGCCACCTCTCTGTCCGGATGCTCTGCGAGCAGCGCGAGGCCTCCGCTGTCAGTGCAACCATCTGCAGCCGGAAGGTGGAGAGCGCTGACTCAGCACGATCGCAAGGCAAGGTATTGAGATGCGGTCGTATTCAGACGACCTATAAATATGCAAATTAACCGTGGCGGCTATGAACTACGAGTACAGAATCAGAATATTATTTATCCAGACAGTCTCGCCCCTTCACCTGATGAAGCCGCTTGTGTTGTGGCCAGGAAACGTCGTGAGAATATTATTGTGTTATTTTATTTTATCAATTTATTATTTTATTCTCATTCTACGTGACTTTACCGAAAGAACCAAGAAGAAAGAACCAAAGAAGATGCCTAAGAATGTTACAAAAATACAAAAACACGATAGCAGTGCAAAGTAATAGGAAAGGTAAACAAATAACTTAAAAATATACAAAATCTATTATTTTTATCTTTCCAGATAAAGCCCACTGAGGTATTAACTTATTTTTCAGAAGTGACCTCTCGCAATTCAGGATTGCGATTCGATTCGAATAATCAATTATTATGCATTCATGTTGGCGAACGTAGCAGCCTCTTGTGGCTGCAGAGGTCAAGTTAACTCTTACATTTTTACAGCCCTTTCTCAATCTACAGCTGGCTGAAAACCCACCCCCGATACCGTATCGGTGATGGGGGTTCTTTGACCATACTTCACCATGTTGGTCAGAGCAGGTTTGCTAAAAAAGGGAGACCCAGGACCGATTCGTATGTCACTCAGCACTGATGTCAGCCGTGGTGCGGGAATGGAACTCTCGTTCATAGTGAGTATGAGCAAACCACATGCGCCACTGCTGCACCCACCCTCAACCAAACTCGGTAAGTGGTCAAATAATAAGGTACAAGTTAAAAATAGATTTTTTTGCAAAAGTGTACGAGTAATGTAATCGGTACACACTTTGCACGGCTCGCTGAACAAATAAGCATGTTTAATTCACCTTCAGAATGTCACCGAATACACAACCTGCAGCCCGCTCTTGCCTAACGTCAGATCGGGTTTGAGCAGCACTAATGGAAGATGGAAACATGGCCCTTGCTGCAGATCAATGTGAAATGGGCAACAATCGATTTATAAATGTATGTGGGACCCTCTCCCCCACTCTCCTTCCCCTCCCCCACTCTCCTTCCCTGTCACGCACTCCTTCCCTCTCCCCCACTGTCCCATTCTCCATCTTCTCCCCCACTCTCATTTCCCCTTCCTCCCCCTCTCTTTCAATCTCGCCTATTCTCCTTCCCTCTCCACCACTCTCCTTCTCTCTCCCTACTCGCCCACTCTCCTTCCTTCTCCACCATTCTCCTTCCCTCTCCACCACCCTCCTTCTCTCTCCCTTGCTCTCACATTCTCATTCCCTCTCCAACACTCTCCTCCATTCCCTTTTCCCCACTCTCTCCCACCTCCATCTTCCCCCCCACTCTACTTCCCTCTTCCTCGTTTTCTCCTTGCCTCTCCCTCCTCTCAAATCTCTCCTACTGTCCCCCCTCTTCTCCATTCTCCGCCCCACACCAACCCCGCCTCCATATCGTTTCCTCTCCACCTACAGGAGGGCATCGCTTCCACAATATTAAATCACCTAGTTGAGTATCCAGCAAGAGGGGCCATGATAATCTGTGGGGTGTCTGTCTCTTGATGGATCACTCTGCGCTATCCCACACCGGCCTTGCCTCTCCCTCTCCCTCACTCTCTCTCCATGCGCGAGCTGCACTAACCCGAGGCTGCCATTGAGGAGGTCGCGGCCATGGCGAGAGTCTTGGGGTCAGACCCCGAGGACTTCTTCCGCTCCTTGCTGCACCACTTCCAGTCGGGGTGCGCCTTGAAATGCGCCTCCTTCACCTGGGGAGGAGGGTGGGGTCGGCAGAAGCGGCGCTCGCGGCACATGCCCACACGCGACACCCCGGCGCGTCGAGTGAAATGCCCGGCAAAGCCGACGACGCCATCTCAAATGAGACGGCACACAAGTCGGCAATTGTTGCCCTACCCCTCCCGACTGGCAGACGTCCGCTCGCAGGTGCAAGTCCCGAGTGACGCAAGAACAGCTGCCACTGGGGGTGCCCTAGGCTGGAACACAGCAGCGGCAATCGTCGCCCCCTAGTGGCAGACAGATGCCCGGTTCGCAAGCCAGGCGTTGAGTCAACTTGTGCAGCACAGGGATGTCTGCCGCCCTTCGAATGCGTCGAGATGAGATGTTCGTCGTTTATAATAAAGGTGGCCACTGAATTCGAATCGTGAACCTCGGCAACAAGGGGGGACTTGGGCCACTGTTAGGCCATGAGCCAGCGGCTGCTTGATACTGCAGGTATAGTAACCAAACACCCGCATCGACTGCTTCACAGTGGGACGTTAAAGATTGCAGAGTGGGCCGACGTGTGCCAGCGTCGGGGTCCAAATTTGTAAAAACGTACTCGCGATATCGGCCCCCCACTGGTCGCCAACTGTACTCGCGAAGTGAGTCACAGCACATTCCTTTCGTGAGAGCCTTGCGCTATCAGGGGGGCCGCAAGCACCAAACGTACCAATTATGATGACGACGACAACGATGGTGATGATGATTACCTGCGAGGCAAGGTCGTGGTACTGCTGCTTCTTCGCGCGCTCCCAGGGCGTACCACCACTCGCCCATGGATCTTGCTGACCGTGCGGTTGTCCTGGTTGGGGTGACGCTGGTGCACCAGGCCGCGGTTGCCGCTTGCTAAAGATCATGAACGCATTCATGGGCCTCCGCACGTGCTCCTTCTCCTCTGAGCAGGGCCGGGGTCACAGGGCGAGGGTTTAGCGCAACAAGGAGGAGACGCGCCAAAAATGAACCACAATACCTTGCTGATCTCGTCAAGGAGCTAAAAACATCACGCGAACTCCGGTCATCCTTGCAGCGGCTTTTGGCTAACCATCGAATAAAGGCGGTCGCCGCATCTCGTGCTTTCAGATGCGCTTCTACGGCTGTATGGAATGCTCTTCTTTCCGATATTAGGAAGCCACTGGAGCTATGCCATTTTAAATCCAGATTGAAAACATGTTTCTTTAGAACTGCTTTTGTGTTTAGTTTATTGGCCTTCCCCGCACCTCTGATTAGCACGGTTGGCTACGTACGGTGCGAAAGAAGTTCAACAACATAACATAAAAAATAACATACTACAGACACCAACACCCAGCAATTAGTTTACCCTAACGCCGCTGGCACGTGCGACTGCTGTGAAAGACGGACTACGGAGCCTAATGTGGCCTCTCGACTCCTGGAGGAGCAGAGACAAGTAGAGGACCTCGCCAGCCAGGGTTGCAGAACGCGACACATCATCATCATCACGTGCCCGATACTGGATAAACGTACGACTTTGGTGGCTGCACCCGAACATGAGGAGGTTTTACTGGATGTGTAGCAAATATTTAAAAAAATCGCCAATTCGTCGATTCAAATTGTTTGTTTGCAATCATGATACACACATCGAATCATGCATCTGTCTGCCACTAGGGGACATGTTGTCGCTTCACACACCATGGTCTGCAGACCGCTAGTATTTCCGCAAGGCCGCGGGGGGAAGTGATTCGGCTGAACTGTTGCAGGTATTACGATTTATTTTCACAAAACAGTGCGACATCGGCAAAAGTGGCTAATCTGTATTTCGATTGTATGGTTTAATGTTTGCATGTATATATGTTGTCTGAAGAGTCAACTTAAGGACAAGGCCCAGGATTGGTTCAACATTACTCGCCACTGCCATAAGCCTTGGCCTGTAATCTAACCCAGTTCGTTGGTTTGAGGCAATGCCTGCCCTGTTACCTTGCGCGAACCCTTGGCCTCCCTTTCTGGGGGAGCCGGTCCTTGGGCAGAGCTCCCAGCGATTGCGTCCTTCTCTTGACGGCAGCGATGGGGGGTGGGGGAGGCTGAGTGGGGCACGCAGCCGGAAGAAACCTGAGCCAGCGAGAACACACAAGAAGGATGCAGTCTTGCCACGTTTCTCTTTTTTTGACACACGATCGCACGTGGGACCTGGTAGTTCGTGGGCAATGAGGGCGTAAACGTTGGTGGGGTGTTGGGGATGGAGGTGGTGCTTGGTTGGACTGTTGGGATGGTGGTGGAGATTGGGTGCGGTGTTGGGATGGTGGTGGTGTGGGTTGATGGGGTTGTGGGGATCGGCAGTTGTGAGTGGGTGAAATGCCAGGATGGTGGCCGTCTAGTGTCCCATTGTGCTGCTGGATTTTCACTCTGCGATTCTCAGAGTATGTCTGTCCCCGAGCGTGTGCACGTGGGTCGTTGTCTATCTTTGGCTCTGTGACATCATTCGCTCGTTCTTTTTTAATCTTTGCTTTGTCTTCCCATGTTTCCATGTCTGTCTCTCCACGTGTTTCCCTGTGTGTGCGCGTCTCCGTGTGAGTGTCTCTCCATGAGTCTGTCTCCATACGTCTCCGTGTGCATCCGTCTCCCCATCCACATGTTTCTGCGCGCATCTTCGCGTGTCCGTGCGTACGTACGCCTCGTCGTGGTCGCTGTCGCTCTCGCTGTTGATCTCGGTCTCGCGCAGGCCGCAGGGCACGTCGCTATAGTAACGGGGCCTGCTGCTCGCGCCCGAGCCCTGGGCGGGACTAGGAGAGGCTGAGGGCTCCTCGTGGGGGTGTGAAATCCTCTCCTGCTTTGGGGTCGTTTCATCTACAAACCGACAGAGCATTCACCGTCATTGTTACTATCAGAGCTGGCACAATTAGTCAAGTAAAAGGTAAAGGTGCAGTCCTGAAATTGCTAGCTCACACCACTACTGGCTCCATAATCTAACAGAGAGGGTAGTTGTCTATATACATGACAGTTCACCAGCATTGGTTCAAGCAAGCCCGACTCTGCTGATGAGACAATGAATGTGGAACCCAGTTCAGAGTTTTATTTACGTTGAACTAATGCTTCTGCAACTACATTCTCCCAGAAGGCCGTGTGGCTGGCAGGATGTTTAAAAGACACTTTATTTGTTTTTGGAAGGAGGGACAAATTTGTGAAGGCGGCTTATTGGCCGCATTGTTATTTTGCAGGTCAGAGTTCATTATGCCTCAACTGTTGCCGATTTCACCTTTAAATATAACTTGCTTACCTCGAATGGACATCTGTGAAAAAGAGCCTCATAGCTCATCGGATTCCTCCAGTCTAAACAATCGAGGTCATCGTGGCCAAAGCTGTTGATGCCGCACCACACCTCGTGAATGCCATCTGGCAGATCTTGCAGCTGCCGCTGCTGCACGGTAGACACGCAGCGAGCTACAGATTTACGGCCGCTTTCTCGGACTCCCTCGAAAATGGCGGCCGCCCCCACGTCCTGCCTTCCGAAGGCAGGAAGCACCTAACGAGCCAAGCCCAGCGTGACGTGGGCTTATACCGCCCATCGACCTCACATCCAGGGGCACTAAAGTGGACAGAGGTGAGACTTTATTTCCCCAAACTATTATCGTGTTATCCGATTAGTTGAATAAACAAACCAATAATTGGTAAAGGAATCGATTACTTAAATGACGTGACGGCACAGCTCTGCTCGTAACTTTCTCAAGGGGATTTCCGATCTGCTCTGAGCACATGATCCATTACCAGCATGTCCTGGAGGAAAAGCTCAAGGCTGTAATCAGCAATTAGCAGCCTTAATTACCCGGTGTACTACTGTGGGTGGGCGGGCGGGCCTGACAACGTACACCTCTCACTGTCCCGCTGGGCTTGCTGTCGCTACAACAACAGCCAGCTATATTTTTAGTTCGGGCAGTTCCATTTTCAAATGAGGTTTAAAGGAGGGGCACAGATCTATCAACAGCGCAGGAACAAAGTGCACTACAGCTACGAGTGTGATGCTTCACCCCACTGCAAGCAAGTCTACGAACTGTGACAATTCAATCTACTGCTGGATGAAGGCCTCTCCCCCACCCCCCACCAAGCCATCGCCATCCCTCATGGTCCTGTGATGTAACAATTATCAAAATATCAGAATCAGAATATGTATTCATACTGGAGCAATCTGATGAGCTATTAAGCTATTTTTCACCTGCACAAAAGCAGAATTTATCGCTCCATCCCAATCCTCAGTGGACGACTGCTGGGACGCATTCCGTCCCTTCGCTGTCATTTCATCATTTTTCTTAACCATCGGCCATACGAGTCAACAAATCGATGCAGCACTCAGCCCCTAAGCTCAAACCTTGCAGTGTAAACGATGACTATGGAATACGCACTTCCCATTCAGCCTCCGACCAAATCACCCGCAATGCGTCCGGTCTCATCAGACCTCGGAACTACGTGGTGGGATAGTGGTGAGAAGTGCTGCAAAATACATGATGTACTGTACTCCTATGGCCCCCACGTACAGTGAGGGAAAAAAGTATTTGATCCCCTGCTGGTTTGTACGTTTGCCCACTGACAAAGAAATTATCAGTCTATAATTTTAATGGTAGGTTTATTTGAACAGTGAGAGACAGAATAACAACAAAAAAATCCAGAAAAACGCATGCCAAAAATGTTATAAATTGATTTGCATTTTAATGAGGGAAATAAGTATTTGAACCCCTCTCAATCAGAAAGATTTCTGGCTCCCAGGTGTCTTTTATACAGGTAACGAGCTGAGATTAGGGGCACACTCTGAAAGGGAGTGCTCCTAATCTCAGCTTGTTACCTGTATAAAAGACACCTGTCCACAGAAGCAATCAATCAATCAGATTCCAAACTCTCCACCATGGCCAAGACCAAAGAGCTCTCCAAGGATGTCAGGGACAAGATTGTAGACCTCCACAAGGCTGGAATGGGCTACAAGACCACTGCCAAGCAGCTTGGTGAGAAGGTGACAACAGTTGTTGAGATTATTCGCAAATGGAAGAAACACAAAAGAACTGTCAATCTCCCTCGGCCTGGGGCTCCATGCAAGATCTCACCTTGTGGAGTTGCAATGATTATGAGAACGGTGAGGAATCAGCCCAGAACTACACGGGAGGATCGTGTCAATGATCTCAAGGCAGCTGGGACCATAGTCACCAAGAAAACAATTGGTAACACACTACGCCGTGAAGGACTGAAATCATGCAGCGCCCGCAAGGTCCCCCTGCTCAAGAAAGCACATATACATGCCCGTCTGAAGTTTTCCAATGAACATCTGAATGATTCAGAGGACAACTGGGTGAAAGTGGTGTGGTCAGATGAGACCAAAATGGAGCTCTTTGGCATCAACTCAACTCGCCGTGTTTGGAGGAGGCTGAATGCTGCCTATGACCCCAAGAACACCATCCCCACCGTCAAACATGGAGGTGGAAACATTATGCTTTGGGGGTGTTTTTCTGCTAAGGGGACAAGACAACTTCACCGCATCAAAGGGACGATAGACGGGGCCATGTACCGTCAAATCTTGGTTGAGAACCTCCTTCCCTCAGCCAAGGCATTGAAAATGGGTCGTGGATGGGTATTCCATCATGACAACGACCCAAAACACACGGCCAAGGCAACAAAGAAGTGGCTCAAGAAGAAGCACATTAAGGTCCTGGAGTGGCCTAGCCAGTCTCCAGACCTTAATCCCATGGAAAATCTGTGGAGGGAGCTGAAGGTTCGAGTTGCCAAACGTCAGCCTCGAAACCTTAATGACTTGGAGAAGATCTGCAAAGAGGAGTGAGACAGAATCCCTCCTGAGATGAGTGCAAACCTGGTGGCCAACTACAAGAAACGTCTGACCTCTGTGATTGCCAACAAGGGTTTTGCCACCAAGTACTAAGTCATGTTTTGCAGAGGAGTCAAATACTCATTTCCCTCGTTAAAATGCAAATAAATTTATAACATTTTTGACATGCGTTTTTCTGGATTTTTTTGTTGTTATTCTGTCTCTCAATGTTCAAATAAACTTACCATTAAAATTATAGACTGATCATTTATTTGTAAGTGGGCAAACATACAAAATCAGCAGGGGATCAAATACTTTTTTCCCTCACTGTATCTCACCTCCACCAATTCGCACTGACCATCATGGTGAAGTCCGGTCAAATTAAGACCCCACGACCCGCACTACGGTGGGGGAGGCCCTCATCCAGCAGTGAACTGACAGAACGGCTGTACAACTCCCATTCAATACCCGACACCAGCACGGCAGGGAGAGCTTCCGCAAGGAGCAACTGGAAGCTTTTCAGGGCTTGACTTTGTAATGTCATGTTCAATCCGAGGAGAGCTGGTGTTAGCACCGACTGCCCGCTAATGCAATGCAAAAGCATGGAACATTCTCAAATAAATGACATTTCCAACGTCCATGTTTTCATTTCCGTTTTCTTGTCGCCCTCCACCCCCGCCAATGTTATCGCGATTGCGCAATAGGCGTCGCGTCGTCGTGAGATGAAGACTCCAACCGGATCTCTCAGAGAAGTGCGACGCTTCGTGATGTAGAACGGCCGACGGTTACTGATATCTTTAATGATACTGGAGGAATCCAATGAGCTATAAAGCTCTTTTTCAGAGATCCGTTCAAGTGACCCTCTGGTCCACACACAGTCAGGGGGGCAGCACTTTCTCACCCCCTCTTATGTTTTAATTCGGAGTTGGAATTTATTCAAAATTAAGTGCAAAAACAAATATTGTGGTGATCTTTGTGCAGTTATTGGTGACTGGGCTGAGACCATCAAGTCCAAGAAAAAACACGTGGAGAGCTATGCAGACGCAAAAGACAAAGAACCCCCCATATATCCTTTAACAGAATTTTGGAGCAAGTGCTATTTAGCAAGCATCTATGAAGGGTAGGTGGCCAGCACCACACCCGACCGCCCTTGTCTCCCCAGTGGTGATGTTAACACACCGCACCAGGTACTCATTTGAGGTCGAGTCGACGCAGGGGAAGCCCAGGATCGGTTCAGATATCCGTCACTGATCTCGGCCGTGAGCAGGAATCAAACTCGGGTGGCCGGGTTCATAGCGAAGCGGACGCTCATCGCGACACTGCCGCTGCCCCACATAGTGCAACCAGGAGGGCCCACACAGTGGTCGTGTCTATTAATCTACGAGGAACGTCTGGGGTGTGGGAGCTGGGCGGCATTAAGATACATGGCGGTGATGATGGGTGGCCTATGACACCCCCCCCCATTAGCCCCCTCCCCCCCAGTAAACAATGAGCTCATCCTGAGTGCTTGGCAGCCACAGACCCTAGAGCATTGTCTCACTGTGCTGAGATGCATTAGGGCTGGCAGCAAGGTATCTTGTCGATTCGTATTATTTTTTCATTATACAGGGTGGCTCAAAAGTCATGGCACATAGGGCGATTTCATTGTTTTTACACTGGCATTAATACATTTAAATTATTAATTCGTTACGTTAATGTTGTGTCTATAATTATTAATATGTCAATGTCTTCTTCCTGTGGGGTCACCTCAAATACGTTGTTTACAAAATTCGGCCATGAACCCGGAGTGGACTGAGACATGACATAATTTAGGAATGTTCAAGAATTCCACCCGGAATGTTCAAGAATTCCACCCGTAATGTTTAAAAAAATATATCCTCAATTAATTTCAAAAGAGAATTCATGCATGCATTAATGTTAATGGAAGTCAGTTTGAACGTTTGTTAAAATAAATGAAATAACCCTATGTGATTTGTTAAAACAAGTATAACCCTGTGTCCCGACTTTTGGGCCACCCTTATACAGCCCTTTGTAAATCCACTGCTAGGCGAGGCCCTCCCCACACTGTGCCGGTAACTGGGGTTGTTTGACCATACTTCACCGTGCTGGTCAGTGCGGGTTGGTGAAGGAAGGGAAAGTGTCACAGGAGCAGTTCAGATGCCGCTCGCCGCTGGAGTTCGTAAACCGTGGCCAGGAATCGAACTAGGGTCACTGGGTTCAAAGCGTTGAGCGATAACTACAGCGTCCACCTACTTTACCCCACCTCGTTAATTAACCAGGGAATTCCGATTGTGCGTGCTGGCGTCAGATTCCAAATTTGCCAACATTTTAATATTACCCGCAAGTTACTTAATTTTGGAAAAACGACATAAGCAACAACTCACCCAAGTGGAAGACCATAACCGTGAAATACTTCATTTTGTGCTTGAAGAATGGCGATAAGAAAAGGGTGAATACCAAATGTACTCATAATATATGCAGCATTGTCCTCAAATTGCTATCGATCCTAATTTTCTCCACGCTCTGCAGAAAAAGGCAAAGCTTCCCAGCGTCCACTTCTGAGGACACCAGGTACTGCACCAGCGCTCCCCGAGGTGTTTTCGGGTTGTACCGCGAGCCAATCAGCCAAGGACCGGCAACACCAGGAACAACAGCATCAGGCAACACTCCATATAATCTAGCATTGGCAGTGGTGCACAAGCATAAATAACGAGAGTAAAAAACCTCTCTGGTCTCTTTATTTGCGTGCTATGAAGAAGGGCCATTGCCCGAAACATCACCTCTCATGTACCTTTGCTTTTACGGCCACGGTAATATTGACGAATGTTTTCAGTTTATAATATACTCAGGGGAGACACCGGAGCTGCTCAACGCATGGTTGGTTTAGTTCTCATTTCGACCTTCTTCATTGTTTTTTATATTGTTGCTTTACTAATTTTGCTGATCATAGGTCAGTCACTCTTGCAAATGAGACTGATCCTGTTCTCTTGAGTTTGCGCACGGTTTAAACAAAATAAACTAGCAACCTAAAGCTCCCAGCAAGGGCAGCGATAAAAATTGGGCGTCATGCCGAACCGCACCCTGCACGAACCGAAAACTCATCCGAGAAGCAGCACAATCGCGAAAAACCCCGCGCAGGAGCGCAAGCCACTGACCCTCGGGTTGGAGAGAAGCGGAGGGAGGGCTCCCATCTCCGTCGACATCAGCAGCCAGCGAGCCGTGGTCTTGTCCGCCGACGTGGTGCCTTTGCAAAAGGCCATGCTCCGACTGGCCGACCGACTGGTATCTGGGTAGCAAGCCATGCTCCAGTTGGTTAACGGCTTGGTGCGTTCGCACAGGCAGCAAGGACAGCTCTGGCTGGCTGGGGGCCAGGAAGGGCACGAGGGAGTGCCACGGGAACACTGGCACGGCGTGAGGCTCCACGCTGCTCCACACTATGGGGAGGATAAAGACATGCAGAGAGAGAGAGGGCGGGAGGTCAGGTGCATATCAGCAGACTAGCCAGCTGCAGAAACATCATCAGCAAATGTATCATCGGCAGAATAACCATCACAGCTTCATCAGCAAACCAGCTTTCAAATTCGTAAACACACTTGCATTAACACATAAACACACCATATACTCCTAAAAACATAAACTTTAAAAACAAACATCACATGCGTGTAGGTTTTTTCGGATGTGCAGCAAGTGTTTTCTAGGTTGTACCGCATTTTGTTTGGCACGCCGACGTGACAAAAACACGACGGAAAGCTACACGGCACAACCACAAAGACCTACGCAATCACCGTATCCAAAAATATCTTCAAATGCCGTCACTTATCAATACGCACAATTCCTTTTTTTTTAAACCCTGCACTGACTGCCGAGAATTTTCGGAACGTGTAATTATGTCCCCTGCGGGTTTGTAGGGGGAATACACTTGAGGGAGAGAATAAAAACAGGGACCCATCAAACTGGGCCGTGTTTAAAGGGCCAATGAAACCCCCCGGTGTGGTCGGGGTGGGGAGGGTCATAGGTCACGGAGACTCACTGAAGCCGTTTTAAATCCAACAGCTCGTTGTCACGGCAGTGCTGCCACTTGTTTTTCCTACGGGCGAGCAATGCGGCAGGCGCCGTTTTTAGCCCCCGTTGTCAGAAACGCCGTGGGCGGACTACCCGCAGCCTTGTTTTGGTTGCCCTCATTGTGTTTAGCGGCGGGGACGCGAGGCCTCGGACTGAGGGCGGAAACCGGCGGCTGCCTCGCCTTTCCCGTCCCCGCGGTGGCCCGTGACTCCCCCCTCCTCCAGGGGCGGACGTTCCGAGAGAAGGACCCGCTAGAGATCGACTCCTATTAATCCAGATTATGGAGCCTTGAAGGCAGTAAACAAGTAAGCCACGGGGTTACACATGAAGTGCGATGTCTTGTGGGATGGAGGATAGCAACGACGACTCAACCGGCACCTCCACCTCGTCTTGTCACGATCGAACCTCATCTCTACCTCGTTATGTTACTAATGAATCCTTTTTTTGCTATAATCAACAAATTCTCCCCTCTCCTCCATCCTTTCGTTAATATACAATTGCAGATCCGACCATCACATATCCGTTCTGATCAATTAACTGCTCACATCCAGTGCAGTATGTGCACGATGGTGGAACTGTCATTTTCTAAAGAGGTTAACCCATCAGACCCAATTAACATATCCACCTGGAACCTCACTCCCCACCAGCAAGCCGGAAACGCGACTTTGTAACGTCACGTGATACACAAGTAAACACAGAACTCGTCAACGTCAGGACGCAAGCAGCACATTCATGACCCACAGCACACAAATCACAGAGCCCCATGTGAGATATATATACACATGCACACGACAATTATAACGCACAATGAGCTCACTATGCCTCAGCCTTGACACAAATGACTCAGCACTCATAAACAGCACATCAGGAGGCCGGCAGCACACACGTCACAGCACATCACATAACCGACTAACCGGGGACTGAGCTACGGGTGGCGATGTGAAAAGGTCAGATAAGTGAACTTCTATATAAACCAACAGTTTCACAACTGTGGGCAAACACTGCACTGGGCGTGGGGTGGTTAAATATGCCAGGGCGGATATACTGATGGTCGGATATGCGACGGTGTTCTGTACACAACTCAACAGGGAAATAAAATGCACAAATCACTCAAGGCAGAGCTCTCTCAGCAAACAGCGAGAGCGGAAACTTCCTCGCTCGCAACAAGTCGGAAAGAGCACAGGACAAGTGGCAGCAGACACGTGACTCGCAGCAAACCCACACAACACGGAAGACAAAGAGCACTGGGCACATCAGTAGTGCTCATCAGACACAAACATTGCAGGTACCCACACAGATGTAACACCACGCAAAGGTGTGTGCGCATTGCATGTACAACATCTCTGAGCCTCCTTCTGACTGCCAACACAAAGAAGCTGAGAAAATGTGGTCATCACAACTTGGGATGGCAACATTTCCTCAACTCTCCGAGTTCATCGTCTAAAAAACAACATTGAGCTGGTGGTCTGGACAAGGCTGAGGAGCTTTTTACACAGTACATGCAATGCTACACGCACCTGTCCGCGTTGCTAAACCTATTTATTTCCCCGGCCTGCTCTGATGTTTCTGTTGAGACGGGAGCTTTCCCGTCATTCACACATTTGAATAACCACAACACGCGCAGTACACAACAGCACCCCACCTCCCATCACTCGAACGCTAGCAGTACACGCCTTAAAAGACGATTAATACATGGGTCTAGTAGTAACATCAACAGTTCTGTGCATGGCATCACACGAGACCTTACAGTACACGACAGTACATCTTGATGGTACACAACATGACAGGGGACGCCTTGGCAGTACATATGACCGCACCACACACAACAAGCACCTGGCACCGCACATGACAGGACACCCCTAACACGACGGCACACGTGACAGGAAAATCAACAGTACAGCTGGCAGTACAATACAATTATCTGAATGTACACCTTAACTTACAACAACAGTACACACGACAGTACATATACAACACACCCCCCCTGGTATACCTGATGGTACATTCAACAGGACAGCTGACAGTACATACGGCAGTGCAGCGTACGACAGTACACCTGATATATGGCAGTACAACTGGAAGTACACCGCAAATGGCATAACATGTGACGGCACACACGACAGTACACCTTAGAGCATACACGACAGTCCATCTCGGGAGTATACACAACAGTACACTTCACAATATACCTCACAGTACAGGTACACAGTACACTTTTGTAACAATCAAAGCAGCGTTCTTAAAATAGAAGTCAAGTTCCTCTCCACGCCCACCACAAACGTACAAATCACCACATTCATCATCAGCAGCAGCACCAACAACAATCAGCACGACTGGCAGTACCCTCAACAGCAATCACCACCACCATTATCACCACCAAAAACAAAGTTGCCCCGTGTAGCCTTAACAGCCTGTAGGGGCAAGTGCTGTTAGCGAGCACCTATGAAGGCCGGCACGGCACGCGAGGGGGTGGGTGGCCAGCACCACGCACGACCGCCTTTGTCTCCCTAGTGGCGATGTTTACACACCGCACCAGGTACTCATTTGAGGTTGAGTCGACCTATGGGAGGCCCAGGACCGGTGGAGATAATCGTCACCGGTGTTGTCCGTGAGCGGGAATCGAACCCAAGTGGCCTGGTTCGTACTGCCGATCTCCACCTTCACCACCAACCAGACCACCACAAACAATACCACCACCACAAACAATACCACCACCACCTTCATCAGCATCACTACCCACAGCATCAACACCATCAGTATCATTACCACTATCCATATCTAAATCAGCATCACTAGTAGCAGCACCATGAGAATCGCTTTCATCAGTGTCACTGCCATGAGTATCATCGCCACCACCAACATCATCACCATACCACCACCACCACCATTACCACTCTCAGAACCATCAACGCAATGAATACCATCATCACCACCATGGACATCTCAATCACCATCACTGCCAGCAACATCACTAACCATAAACATCCTCATCAGCATCACTAGCAGCAACATCATCAACACCACCTCCATCATTACCATCAGCACCACCACGAGCATCACTACCACAGCATCAACAACACCAATACAATCACCACCATCAATCAACATCTCCATGGCCACCACCATCAATACCCACAGCACCACGCTACGCAGTGAAGTTGTGCTCAAGTAAGCAAGCAATGCAAGCAAAAATGGATGGCGGCGACAGGCGACTTTGCGGGAAGGAGTAATAGAGGAGGAAGATCAGAGAGCGATCGGAGAGACAGGAAATTCAAGAGAGAGAGAGAGCACTGGGGAGTTCCGGCGGTTGAGCGCAGCCGTACCTATCATGTGAATGCCCGGACGCAATGGAGGTGGACCGGGTGGAGATGATGACATTTGTGACAACATCGCGGCGGTGGTGGTGGTGGTGGCGCACCTCCTCCTCCTTCTCCTCGCCTCCTCACCTCCTCGCACCGTCACACGCGACCGGCCGGCATGACCACCGTGAGACCACCACCCCAATCAACAAAGCCACCCACCCCCGAGGCCTACAGAGGCTCAGTTCTCCCAGCAACAAAACAATATATACTTCTCTGCTCTGTCTTCCTCCTGTTCCCACTGTCTGCCTTGTCTATCTTCCTTCCCTGCGCCTGTCTTCCTGCCTGAGAGACAAGAGGCGATTACTGTCTATCAAGGTGTCCACGCGGGCCCAGCCGAACAACAGCAACAACAATAACAAACACACACACGTGTGTCTACCACAACTACGTGCAACCACAGCTGGAGCGGGGGGAGAGATCTTGGAGGAGATAGGCTTCGTCTGCTGCCTCGCTGCTGCTGCTGAGAAGGTCTTCACTCCTGGAGGAGTTGAAGGGGATGGTGGAGGCGGCCCTGTGAGGCAGGATGAGGAGACCAGGGCCGAGGCGGCGGCGGCGGCGACGAGCGGAGCCGCGGCGGTGGTGAAGCTCTCCCCCCTGCGGCCAGGCTCGATGCGTCTGTGCGCCCGGGGGCCACTGAGTCTCTCTCCCCTTTCCTCTCCCTTGTCTCTCTCCTCTCTCTCGTCCCTCTTCTCCGCTGATATTCTCCTGGCCTGGCTCTCCCCCGTCTTACTCTCCCTTTTGCCTCCTTGCTTGCTTGACTTACTCCCCACCCCCTCGCCTCTTGCTTGTGTGTCTCTCTCAGAGTCTGCCGTTGCCTGATGATTGCTGAACTCTCCCTCTCTCTCGCTCCCTGCCTCTCTCTTGCTTCTCTGCTGCTCTCCCCTTGCCACTCTCCCTGAGGCCGCCACTCACGTCGCTCCCGCACAATGGGCGCCTGGGCCAGGCCGGGAGAGGGGGGGGCGTGACCTAAGAGTAGGTGGGCGGGGGGGCCAATAGTCAGGGGCGGGGCCAATAGTTAGGAGGCGTGGTTAGCAGTCAGGGGCGGGGCTCTCAGTGCGGTAGATTCTATGGTAGAGGGCGTGGTCAATATGGACTAGGCGGGGCTACGATTAAGTGGGCGGGATTAGTGCGGAGCCACTAGCCAGGTGGAGTGGGCGTGGTGGTTGGTAAGGGGCGGGGTAATAGGCGTGGTCACGCATAAGAGAGGGTGGGGGGGGTCTTCAACGCGCGCATGCGCATTTGGTGGAGTCGTGTGGCTCGTGGGCCAGACTCGGCCTGAGACTTCATTTGGAACGTCTGCGAGGCCACGTGACGAGGCCTCCCGTCTCGAAACTGCCCGCAAAGTGGCGATGTTTATCCATCACCGCAAATCAGCTCAGCTGCACCCTATGGGTGCACGGGGGAAGGTCATTTTTTGAAAGCTTTAAGTCAAGAGTTAATATTTTTCAACTTTAATACTCATAAGGCCCCATGATGTAAAGTACAGGCTCCAATTCTTATCCACACCATCTCTCTGGACTATGTGGTATAAAGAAGGACTATTGCCCCGAAACGTCATCTATCAAATTGTGCCTTCAAAGGCTCCTCCTTTCCTCCTTGTTTGTCCATGAAAGGTTGATGATGACCATGACACGCTTCACTGGGATGAGTCTGGGGTACGGTGAGCGCTCAGTTGGCTGAAGAGGCTAATCTGAGCCCTGGACACGATGCCTTGTTAGCAGCCTGCCGGGGGACGGGTCTCTTGATACGGGCCTTGCGCTATTGTCTCTTCACCATAGCATTCTTAGTCCGGCTGGTTTCAGAGGTGGTAGCGCCATCCCAGATGAGATTTCACCAGGTCGGACGATCCTGAGCAAGGCTTTCACATGACTTGATCTGTATTCAAGCTCTTCAGGGAGGCCCTTCGGGGAGTCTTTCGGAAACGTTTCTTCAGCCCGCCTTGTGCTCGCTTCCCATTCTTCATCTCTCCAAAGAAGATCTGCTGCGGGAGATAAGTGGTAGGCATTCCGGTCACATGGCTGGCCCATCTGAGCTGTGCTTTCATAAGGTGTGTGGGAATGCTCGGCATGTCAGCACGGCTGAGGACTTCAGTGTCTGGCATGTTGTCCTGCCACTTCATCCTCGGGAGCTTCCTCAAATATTTTAGGGGAAGTGATTTGAGTTTCCTGGCATGGTGTTGGTATGCTGTCCAGGTTGTGCAGCCCATAAGTAAGAGTTGGTCGTATGACTGCCTGGTAAGCCTTCAGTTTAGTGGGCAGCTTGATGCATGTCCTTTCCCACACTGAATCTCGCAGACGGTCAAATGCTGCACCAGCATTGGCGATCCTGATGTTGATTTCATCGTTAATGTGAACAGCACGTGACAAAATCCCACCAAGGTAGGTGATAGTTTCTGACCTTTCACAGAGACAGTTGGGTCCACACAAGGATTACCGGGGGCAGGTTGGTCCATGACTTCAGTCTTCATGGTACTGATTGTGAGGCCGAAGTTGTCGCAGGCAGCTGAGAACTGGTCCATGAGGGTCTGCAGGTCGAATCGCGAGCCAGCAGCAGCTAATGTGCAATGATCTGGAGCTTCAGGGTCATCAAATGGTCATTTATACACCTTGGGCAAGCTTGACGGTTGACCAGGTTAGATTTTACCGCAAAACCAACACCAGCGTCTCTCCTCTTTTCCACGCCAACTCCCAACTAAGGTGTGACCGGCTGCAACTTCTGCAGTCTGTCCCGTGTCAGCTAGCCGGGCCTCACTTAGGGCGGCAATGTCCATTTTGTGTCTGGAAAGTTCTCTGCCGACAAGAGCTGTACGTCTCTCAGGTCGGTTTGGTCCATAAGTCTGCGCACATTCCAAGCACCAATATTAAGCGGTGTGCCTTTTATTTTCTTTGTTCGACCGTTGACGCGGGATCTCTTCCAGCTGTGGTAGGCTGGCCAGGGTAATGCGAAGCAGACAATGTTTAGGGCATCTTTTCTAGCCCCTTCCTCATGGTGGGGAGGTGAGCAGTGTAATCCTGAATAGGGTTGCTCATGCTCAGGTTGCTGCCAAGTTGCACTGCCGCTTCAGTCCAGTGAAAAGTGACCCGATAACCTGAGCCGCCTGTGTGTGGGTCCACGGCTACAGCTCACAGTGCATACACGCTTGCTGCTTCGTCGTTCATCCCTCGCCACAGGACTTTGGATGACGATGTCATGACTTGCGCATTGAATTGGATTTACGTGAGGGAGAGTTGCACAGCTTCGACCTCACTCTCTCGTCCAAACGCATCTGTATCCAGTGGCAATACTATGTCGAGACGGCTGGAGATGATGCTGGATGCAGTTGGATGGTTTGAGGAGACCTTCTGATGGTATTTCCTCCACCAAGGATTACACAGACCCAACTCGGATACTAAGTTTGCCCGGGTTTTTTGACCGCCGCGCAGGGTTCGGCGTTGGCAGCTGCTGACAGTACCAACTCACCGGGTGCAAGAGGGAAAGCACCTGGTGTGAGTCTACGGGCGCAGCTCGGTGTTCCCATCGGACTGACTGAACACCCAGCCGGCCAGACACAATAACACTGTAGCCTTTTAAGACTACAGTGTTATTGACAAATGTGTTGAGTTATTTTGTTATTTATTTTTGCGTACCACTGTCAACGCAGTATCACCAAATTATTGGATTAACTTTCAGAATTTAGCACGCCCAGCCACATGCCACTGCATGACAGAAGCAAATGAAGTGCTTTCATGTGCAGCCTGCCAAAGTTATTTTAAAGGCCTATTCGTGCCTTGGAAAGAGGTTCGCTATTCCTAGCATATTAAAATCCATAGCTCTATAACCAAGGCTCTCCATAAACCATATCACACATCAGGCCAATGCTGTGTGTTGCCAATGAGTGGTGAATTATGGGTGGAACAATGGCATAAATGCTTGGTACGTTGATCTATGGAACCCAGTGATCTCAGTTTGATTTCCAGCCACGGCTAACACCAGTGACGGGTGATATCTGAAGCAGGTCTTCACCAACCGGCACTAATCAGCATGGCGAAGTATGGTAAAATGACCCCTATCCCACGACATCTAAGAGTGCTGTGCATCAATTCAATGTACTGTATATGAATGCACAACACCTAGAATACAGGACATTTAGGGTGACATGGTCATGCAGTGGTGACACTTGTGTCTCACAGCAAGAGATCCCTGGGTTTGATTCTCTGCTGGGGCACCTTGGTATGTGTAGTTTGTGTGTTCTCCCACTGTTCTGCATGAGTTTCCTCTAGGTTCTCAAGTTTCCTCCCATTGATAAAAAACAACAACATACAATGGAAACTGAAATTGGCCAAATATCTCAATACTCTTTGGTTCTATTCGGTAAAGTCACGTAGGTAAAAAATAAAACAACAAAAATCACGACGTTTCGGCCACAACACAAGCGGCCTTCATCAGGTGGCCAAAACGTGATTTTTGTTTTATTTTTTACCTACGTGACTTTACCGAATAGAACCAAAGAGTATGGATCCTTGCAGTCACGAAAGCTTTAAATCTAAATATCCCAATGTTGAAAAAAAATACTCAATTTGAATTTCACCTGGCACCAACATCACCCTCCTAACTGCAAAACAAAACTTGGCAGGACCTTCATGAAAAAAAGTCTAAAGACTCAGTGGGGTCAATATAAAATTGAAGTTTTCGTGACTGCAGGGATCCATACTCTTTGGTTATTTCGGTAAAGTCACGTAGGTATAAAATAAATTAAATCACGTGTGTTGCGTCCGAAATTTCGTGATTTTATTTATTTTATACCTACGTGACTTTACCGAAAGACTCAATGGGGCTTTCCTGGATAATCATAATACTGTAATAATAACATGAACACATCAATGTACCATTGGCAATATAATGAATATTCATAACAGCTTATACAGCTTTAGTACCGCACCTTCCGCTCACCGCACTCTGCTGGTGGGGATCCCTCGAGGTTCCCAGGGTCTGAGTTAAGCCTCCTGGCACTCGTGTTTTTGTGTCTGTGGCTCCTACCCTGTGGTACTCTCTCCCTCGTAATGTACGAGAGCAAGGGCTCGTCCGTGACAGTATTCAAATCTGCACTCGAGCCAACTTTTAGCTGTCAATTTTCCCGAGATTGAATTTGTGTAGGATAGCTGATAGATATTATATCTTAAACGTGTTGTATATCTCTGGTGTTATGTTTGTGTACGAGCAGTTTCATTCACTTTGTGAATTTTAGATATTAATATTTGTCTAACAATTAATTTTGGATGAAGACCAATTAGTGAAATCAAGAAACTACATTATAGATGCACCCAAGGGGTGGGTATCCAATAAACATTTACATGTATTCAAACTACACTCTACGATGAAAGTGGAAAACTGATTCCACAATGAGAACAGGTCACATTTCACGGGGACCGACCTCGCCAATTCGGTCAGCTGGATCTGTCATGGCTCCAGCACTGGACAGCTGCCTAAAGTGATAGTTTGTTACTGACATCAGTGACTGGAGCTCCGTGCCGCCAATGATGCCGAGATCACGGAAGGTCAGGGCTATAACAGGGCCTGCTCTGAGGCCCCTAGTGAAAGGAGAAGCACAACTGCTGCCGATCACATGTGAACGGTACGCCTTGTGCTCGCACTTAGTGCATAATGGCCTTTCTCGGAAAAATAAAAGATTCTATGACATTCGCAGTTCTGTACAATTATCTTATTGATCGCCCAGTGGGATGCCTTTAAACCGTTATAGATTCAGGATCTCATGTGACTGTTGTTTTTGCTCGATTTCTATTTGGGTCATTGCTGTAGTTTGTTTTTTATTTTGTCGATTTAGTGAACCAGGTCACTGTTGCAAATGAGAATATCCTAATCTCTTGGGGTTTCACCTGGTTAAACAAGTACACTTTTACTCACGCTATCGGTGTGTGGAGCAGAGACGCCTCTAAACTTTTTAGGCCATTGATGTCCTCGACCAATTTTTAG